CTCCTGTCAAGATGCTATGTAAGCTCAAGTTCTTCATTGCCGAAGCTGAGTGATGTATACATGGAAGTCATTAGTTTTGTCTATATTTATCTATATACAGAAAAAAAAGCAAGAATGGCAAGAAAGGGGGTGGCAAGAAAGTGCCTAGGTGGTTCAGATGGTTAAGCGTCCCTGTCTTAATTTCAGCTCAGGTCATGATCTCAGGTTGTGAGATCGAGCCCCACGTTGGGCTCTGCACGGGGCATGGAGCCTGCTTAAGAGCTTAAGATTCTCTTCTTCTGCCCCCGCCCCCCGCCAAAATAAAAAAGAATGGCAGGAAAAGGGCAAATAGTGAGGGGAGAGTGTCCTACAAGATATTAAAAGATAGAATAAAGCCTCAATAATTAAAACTACAGCACTGGCACATAAAAAGAGACAGAACAAAGGAACAGAATAGTTAAGTCCAGCTACAGACCTAAATATAGGTAGGGGAATTCTGTATATGACAAAGATGTCCCATTTCAATCACAGGGGTGATGAAAGAAGAAATGAAGAAGACTGCTGAAGAAATGAAGTCAGAACATCTGGTAAGTCACCTGGAAAATAATTAAATCAGATACTTAATTTCTACCTTACTCTAATTCTGATGTACTGAAAATTAAAATGTTAAAAAAAAAAACTAGAAACAAGAACAATCTATAACTATTAGCAAAAATGTGGTTCTCACAAATATGAGCAAGAAAAAGCCAAACACAAAAGGAAGACATACTGGGCGTGCCTGGCTGGCTCAGTCAGTAGAGCATGTGACGCTTGATCTCTGGGTTGTGAGTTCGAGCCCCACGCTGGGTATGGAGCCTACTTAAAATTAAAAAAAGAAAGTTAGAGAGCGCCTGGGTGGCTCAGTCGTTAAGCGTCTGCCTTTGGCTCAGGTCATGATCCCAGGGTGCTGGGATCGAGCCCCGCATCAGGCTCCCTGCTCGGCGGGGAGCCTGCTTCTCCTTCTCCCTCTGTCTACCACTCTGCCTACTTGTGCTCTCTGTCAAATAAATAAATAAAAAAATCTTTAAAAAAAAAAAGAAAAGAAAAGAAAGTTAGAAAGAAAAAAGGCATACTGTATAATTCCATTTATAGAATGCACAAAAACAGGCAAAGCTAATCTATGATGTTAAAAGTCAGGCTAATTTTGGGGGGGGGTTCTGGCTGGCTCAGCTGGTGGAGTGTGAGAGGCTTAATCTGGGGGTTATGAGTTCAAGCCCCACGTTGGGTGTAGAAATTACTTAAAAATAAAATCTTAAAAAAAAAAAAAAGGCTAATGGGAGCAGGGAGAATGGTGGTGATTGGAAAGGAGCATGAGATGGGCTGCTGGGATGCTGTAATATTGTTTATCTATCTGGTCAGTTATACAGGTGTATTCAGTTTGTGAACATTCACTTATGATATATGCACTCTTCGGTACATGTATTATACTTCAATAAAAGTTTATTTCCAAGCGCGCCTGCCTGGCTCAGTTCATAGAGCATGCAACTCTTGATCTCAAGGTGGTAAGTTCAAGCCCCACATTGGGTGTAGAGCTTACTTAAAAAGAAAATTTTCATTTCCAAATGTACTAGAAGAAAACACAGGAGAGTTATTTTACAATCTCAGAGTGGGCAAAGCCTTCTTAAGTACGACTTCCCAGAAGCCATAAAAAGTTAATAAATTTCACTACATAAAAATAAATTTCTAGAGTAAAACAAACAAAAACAACCCAATAGAAAAATGGGTAAGAATATGAACGTACACATCCCAGAAAGGGACATAACAAATAGCTCCACACATACAGAAATATGTTCAACTTCACTTATAATAAGAAAAAATGCAATTAATATGACAAGATATTTAAATTAGAAAAGACCAAAAAGTATGGTTATGCAATAAATGGGTAGAAGTGTGAGGAAAGAGGCACGCTCATACAATGCTAGTGAGAGTATAAATTGGCATAACCTCACTGGAGATCAATTAGGAATAACTGTTAAAATTAAAAATATAGGGCGCCTGGGTGGCTCAGTCGGTTAAGCGACTGCCTTCGGCTCAGGTCATGATCCTGGAGTCCCAGGATCGAGTCCCGCATCGGGC